CCCCGATGCGCCTGCCGTCCCCTTCAATAACCGCGCGAGGCCGGTCGGGTACCTGCTCCCAGGTTTATCGGCACCCCGGCGGCCGCGCCGGCGCCTACGGCTTGGTGAACTGCTGGATGAAGGCTTCCAGCTTCTCCTGGCTGGCGCGGGAGCGGAAAGGCTGGGCGAGGTGGAGCAGGGGGCCGGCGGGGGTCCGCACCTCCTCCAGCACCTGGGGAGGGAGAGGAGCGTCGCGGCGCAGTAGTTCAAGGTCAGGGGGGCCGGCGGAGCCTCGGGGGTGCTTACCCCCATCTCCTTGAAGGTCTGCAGGGAGCTCAGGGCCAGGCTCCTGTTGGGGGGCTCTGGAGGGAGAGAAATCCCCGAGGGAGCACCCGCATCCCACCCTCCGGGCACCCCTGGCCCGGCTTTTGGGGGTGCTGACCCCAAAGCGGGAGCGAGGCCCTGTCCACCCCCCACCCTGACTCACCGAAACCATCCTCCTCGGCCAGGAACTGCAGCAGCGACTCCACGCAGGCAGCCTCTGGGGTTGGGGAGACAGGAGGGGGTCAAACCCCAGCTCCCAGGGGGGCACAGCCCTGCTCTGGTCCTGGTGTGGAGCCAGGGCTGCCAGGCAGCTTCGGCTGTGCCTCAGTTTCCCCAAGAGCCAAGCCAAGCGGGGCTGGTGGGGTCGGAGAAGCGGTTGCTCAGGCGCAGGGGGTCGTACCGGGCTGGGGCCAGCTGGGTCGGTCCAGGAAAGCCGCGGCTCTGGCGTAGGTCCTCAGCACAGGGCTCAGGAGCCGGCAGAGGAAGAGGAGGAAGCCGGGCGAGCCCTGGGGCTCCCTGAGCTGGATGGGGGAAGCCAGAGTTTGGGGAGACCGTCCTCACCCTGCCACGGGGGCAGCCGGGGGACACCCTGTGTACCTTGAAGCAGCGCTTGGGGACCTCGACCTCGCTGTCACTGTCGCTGTCGGTGAAGTCCATCCCTGTCCAGGGCTGTCGCTTGCAGAAGGGCCGCGGGGCCAAGTCGCAGACCCAGCGCTCGCTCTCTGGCTGCGGGGACAAGCCGGGAGCAGGGACCTTCGATGCCGCCCCGCAGGGACCCCGGTTCCTCATCCCCTTCCCAGCCAGGGCCGGAGGGTGCAGGAAGGGCTGAGCCACCCATCCGCGGCGCGGGGAGGGGGTCCTGGCAGGGCACCCACCTCTTCGGCCTCCAGCAGCCCGCAGAGAAGGAGCTTGTCCACAATGTCCTGGCTCCGGCAGTCCAGGGGCTGGCAGGGCTGAGGAAGAGGAGGCAAGGGGCTGGCAGGGAGCTGGATGACCCCACGGGCAGCAGTGACAGGCCACTTCCACACAATGGCAGTGCCACCCCGCGCCGCCAGCCCCTCACCTGGAACCCCAGCAGGTTTGGGGGCAGCAGCCGGAGCAGCTCCAGGGTCTTGCGGTGCAGCTCGTCCTGGCTGAGCACGATGCCGGAGGGTCCGACGGTCGCCCCCAGGAAGGGCAGCATCTCCAGCAGCAAGGCACGGATGGCGCAGGCTGCCAGGAAAACGGTGTCACCGATTCCCCCCCGCCGTCACCGATCCCCCACGCCTCGCTCCTCACCTCCCACCGCCTCGCTGGCGAAGACGGGCAGGATGGCAGCGCTGTGCTGGCCCAGCTCCCTCAGGGCCTTCGCCGAGGCCTCGGGGACCACCAGGACGTCACCGAGGGGGGAGAGGTGGTAGAGGGTGAGGCGGGCTCCGAGCAGGACGAGGCTGTGCCGCACCAGGGCGCGGAGCTGCCCCGAGAAGCCCACGTCGCGCTGGCGCAGCAGGATCTCCTCCAGCAGCCAGGCGAAGTCCAGCATCAGCCGGGAGAGGAAGACGCCCTGGAGGAAGAGGAGGATGAGCTGGTCCCCTGCACGGCGGGGGCGGCTCTGGCAGTCTTCCTCCAAAGGAGGAGGAACCTGGACACCTCCTTGTCTCACCTCCCGGTGCTTGTGCAGCAGCAGCGCGGACGTGATCCCCACAGCCATGACGGCGGAGCAGGCAACGCCGTCTGCCAGGGAGCCAGAGGCGCTTGTTAGCCATCGGGGGATTAGCTCCCCGCCCCGAGCCCAAAGGGGAGAGAAGGCAGCGGGGGTGACATCCCAAAGGACATCACCCAGCGGGTGCCGGGCCGCTTTACCCCCCCCACCAGCCCCCGGTTGCCTACACTCTCCGTTTCCAGCCAGGGAACAGGCGCTGCCAGGCAGCCGCCAGGCAGCCGTCACCCCGCCGGCTGCATCACCGCAGCGCCCAAAAAATAACCGGTAATGGCACAGCCGCCTCCGCGCCGGCGGGAGCACGAGGGGCGACCGTGGCAGGACCAGGCGAGCGCGGCTGAGCCGCAGCCCTGCGCGGACAGGCAGACGGCGGGAGGACGGACTCCTGCCTGCCCCAGCAGACCCCTCACCGCTCAGGGAGTGCAGGCCCAGCTCGGTCACCAACATTTCCTCTTCTGCCTCCAAGCCGGCGGCCGTCGCGGGGCCAGGACCCCAAATCTCTGCTTTCTTGCCATCCAGCTGGCTGGGCCTGGAGAAAACGGGGCGAGAGGGGTGAGAAAGCAGGGCCGGGAGCAGACATCGGAGGCGAGACGCTGCCCCGAGGCTCGGCTCCCGCTTACCACGTGCCAAGGATGGTGGGCAGCAGCAGCTCCTCCAGCAGCTTCCCCCTGCAGCTCTGCCTGACGAGGCTTTTG